TATTATTAATGTTGATATTCCTTTCTATAAACAAATGAGGTCTTAATGGTCAACAGTGATAATTTTTTTAAACAAAAAAATTATGAACATTATTTGAAAGCACAGTATCCCCTAGAGCCTACACTGAGGGACAGATACCAGCAGCCTCAATGTAAAACAAATACGCATACCTAAATTAGACCTAAATTGTTCATTATAGATAGTGCAATCAAGTTGTTACTGCTCACTCTCTCAAACTTATCAAATTAATTCGTGAATTTCTAAAAACTATAATATAAATATGCAAATCAATTTTAATTACACACTGCAAATGATTTGGCAGTAACCTCAATCATTACTTAACATAATAGTTCTCTGTATATTGAACATATTAGTTTGTACTAATAAATTTGGTATTGCAATGTTTTGACCACACACTGTATGCACCATTATTACAATGCTATTGGATCAAATATAACACTAAACTGTCAAAATGTGTTACCATCACAGTTGTGGTAAAATATCAAATAACAGTTGAGAGTTATAAAATGCACCACTCTTCATTTCCTAGTTGTTCATTTATCATGAAAGTAAAAAGTACTTCACCTTACATAGATTTAAAGCAATTATAAATGCAAAGAGTCATCACTTCCATAAAGGAGCACTCTGGTAAAACAAACCACTGATTCAATATATGCAATAACAAATTGACTTGCACCGTAGCTGAATGCTTACCCGAGATTCTTGTGTTACGTAATATTTCAGTAAACACATTGCACCGAATATTTTCACCATGACTGCAGAACATTTGCTCTGTCAAAGTATACAAGAATAATTCCAAAATGTCCTTTTTTATTTCAGTAACTGCTAAAAAACAGGACATACAATACACTGCAAAAAAAAATTCAAAATAAAAATAATAAGACTGCCACAAAAAAAAAGAGAAGCATCTTTCAACAAGTATAATTAACAGATAATTTGGGTTATATTAAATGTGTATGTGTGTGTGTGTGTGCGTGTGCGTGTGTGTGTATGGTACTCTTTTTAAAATATAACTTCCCTACTGAGTGATTACCATCACTAACATAGCACTGAAATATTTAACATAGTGACTTTTGGTACATTTGTGAGATGTGTTGGACTGTCCGACTACTTTCTACTGTAGGCTCTATATTTTATACATACAAATTTTAATGTTAAACTGACTATTTGTGACATCACCACTTTCCTATGGCGAAAGATATACTTAAATTAAAAGGACAGGTATTGAAGACACTGTATATGTAATCTGTATGTAGTTAATAATTAACTCAGAATATTGTAGATAATTATAACAGTAATAAATGGCCACACATGGATTTCTACAAAGCAACCTTAGTTGAGACTAATACCGGTATAAATTAATGTGCTGCATGCAATATTACGCTAAAGTTGACTTCATCAAATTGATGCAATGATCAGTCTGTTTGCAAGACAAACTGAATTTCACTAAATTAAAGCACTGTGGAAATACCATAGCCTAAGAACTTTCTCCAGATAATTCAAGAGAAAAACCATCTTATTTTCTCTTTAAAATCTCTGGGTCATTGATGAGTCAACTGACATGACCAGATGACAGGCATCACAGACAACTGACATGTCCAGATGACAGGCATCACAGACAACTGACATGTCCAGATGACAGGCATCACAGACAACTGACATGTCCAGATGACAGGCATCACAGTCAACTGACATGTCCAGATGACAGGCATCACAGACAACTGACATAGTTAGATGACAGACTTGCACTAACGACAGGATGCCTTGATGATAGGCATGTCCTGACAACAGGCACGTTCTGATGACACACATGATCTGACGACTGGCATGTTCTGACGACTGGCATGTTTAGACAACAGACATATTTAGACAACAGACATGTGCAGTTGACAGACATGTGCAGATGACGTGCTTCCATTTACTGTTATAACTCATCTTACTTGTACCCAAAGCAATATAACAAAACATACATGTTATTAACTATATTATATGAATACATGGAATCAAATATTAAGTACTGTACTATTAATAGGTGATGACAGAAAACTAGGTTGAATACAGACACTACGATAATGATCAAGTGAATATTAAAAAAAAACAAAGTTTACGATGAAATGATAAAGAAATAAAAACAATTGAAGAGAAAGATGAGATTCCAATGCTAAATTTAACTAGACATTAGTCAAAGAAAACGGGTTTAAAATTCAAACCAAGAAATAGGAAACTAAAGTCAATACTGTACAAATCTTGAGCTATTTACATGCACTACAATCAGTGTTTAGCACCAGCAATAAAACTATGGGAAGAGGAAATGCAAAATAAATAACAGATAAGTACAATAAACTATCACAAACTATTAAAAGTGAAGCTTTGGCTCATCCACAGAAAATCAATAACAACGAAATGGAAGATGACAGATGAGTATGGAAGCCACTCAACCTTCACGACCACTTAAGCCTGCACTATTATAACATATATAAAGCTCACAATATATACATAGAGAACAATCGCATCACTAGACTATTGAACTGCCGATCTTTTATAGACTGAATACACAAGTCTGTCCTCTCCATGGGGGACACTTAGACATTCACAATTTGGAGTTTAGCACTACAATTTAACACCGCACAAGGGGTGGGTTCAATTATATGGAAGATGGTGCACAGGATATTAACCAAAACATTTTGGTGGTCAACATGCAAATACTGCACCACACTCCAAACCACTGTGCACTTCATTATGTACTGTAATTGTAATTTAAAACTGGGTGGACTATTTAGTACTGTAATAATGTTTGGGAAGGTGTTTTATTGAGCAAAGCGTATAAAAAATTAGACTTTTCAAGGTCCACAAATACAACTCTATTTTCTCTACATAAAGTTGAATTCATATGAACTACAGTAATTTGCTGAATGAGATTCTCAAGAATGCATTCACTATAAGACTGAATGCTGACCGCATGTACATGTGCCGACAAATGTATACACCGTACATGCAAGTGCTTTTATATCATACCTAACTGCCAAAACAGCAGTGCTAGGACAAGTAAACAAGGACTGGTTAGGCTCATTTCTGCCTATGTCTGCCAGTATTAAGAATTAATCAGCATATTTAGGTTAGGTCAGGTTTTAAGATCAAAAAAAACAATTTAAATCGGTTTTGTTTGTTAAATTAGCGACATATCACTCCACAATATAAAATCTTAAAAGAAAATTACATATTTGATAAAATTTGGATTTTTTAGGCAACTCTGGCTGTTAGGTATGAGAAATATATGTAAGTGTGAACACAGATGTAAGGGTATAAGTGGGACAAGAGCAACGGTTCCTTTGGTGAGGGGGGAAGGTGAGGGGTGGGGATCTTTATGTGGAAGGTGGGGAGGAGGGGTAGTGAGAGGTAGGGGGAGTTTGGGGGTTAGAGGTAAGGGGGTTTGGGGGGGAGGTTAGAGGTAGGGGAGTTTGGGGGGAGGGGTTAGAGGTAGGGGAGTTTGGGGGGAGGGGTTAGAGGTAGGGGAGTTTGGGGGGAGGGGTTAGAGGTAGGGGAGTTTGGGGGGAGGGGTTAGAGGTAGGGGAGTTTGGGGGGAGGGGTTAGAGGTAGGGGAGTTTGGGGGGAGGGGTTAGAGGTAGGGGAGTTTGGGGGGAGGGGTTAGAGGTAGGGGAGTTTGGGGGGAGGGGTTAGAGGTAGGGGAGTTTGGGGGGAGGGGTTAGAGGTAGGGGAGTTTGGGGGGAGGGGTTAGAGGTAGGGGAGTTTGGGGGGAGGGGTTAGAGGTAGGGGAGTTTGGGGGGAGGGGTTAGAGGTAGGGGAGTTTGGGGGGAGGTAGGGGAGTTTGGGTTGGGGGGGGGGTAGAGGTAGGGGAGTTTGGGTTGGGGGGGGGTAGAGGTAGGGGAGTTTGGGTTGGGGGGGGGGGAGTTTGCACAAGTGTGTGTGAATTTATGTAGTGTGTAAATTAATGCACGTGTGTGTGTAAATGAACCCCATTTGAGGATGAACACATGTACAGGTATGTATACACACACACACACACGTGTGTCTTAATAAAACATTTAAATTTGAATCGTTTACATTATAAATGCAATTGTTCTCTATGAATGGGGAAATCATACATTCAGGTACTAGAAAAAAATGTGTTAGGCACACAAAACAAAAAAAAAACAAAAATAGATATAAAGGCCAACCAATTACTAAATAACAAATAAATGCTACTATTGCATATTACAAACCTCCATTCAACTCACTCCATTCATTGGCTTATTTGGACGTACACAATTTTGGAAAGCCTAATTTTAAAGATACACAACCCACGTACTTGCGTTAAGAAGACGACAATAATACCCTAAACTTGCCGGACATCAATCTGGTTACATGTCACAACACACAGTTTTTGGCACACGTACTACACGCTACTCTCAACACAGTGAAACCTTCGCATTCTTCACCATTCGTTGTTGCTATTAACTTGACACTACTCTGCCTAAAATTCCTGGTAAAACTTTAAAATTAATTTGTCCCTTAAAATTTAGTGGATAATTTTATATAAAAGCTACAGCTAAAACACTTGAAAATTTGGCAGTGTAAATAGAGATCCATTTTTCATTGTTAAATTGATTATAAATATTACAATTCATTAATTTACAGACATCATCAATGGTTTGAAAGGGCAAAATTCAAATCTAAAATATCTGTAAATATTCAAGGGGTACATACAAATGTTTCAAGACATAAATGTTATAGTGCATCAATGGCTCCCTGATCATCTGTTGTTCTTGTTATCCCTTATTGCAAATCATCATTGCACAAAGGTAAGTCTTTTCACTAAATGATAGTTCCCAAACAAATTATATGCTAATTTCTAGCTTTCAGCCTATCGTTTGATCTAAATAGATAGAACAGGTTTCACTGCATTTATAAACAGAAACATTGAAATTTTATGGCCACAACATTATTCTCACATTGATAACATTGTTACAAGCATTTTCAAGTTCAAGATAAATTGTTGGATATCATGCCCCTATTCCTTTGCCAGGTGTACCACTGACAATCATAACTGGAGCATAATTTGCATCTTTACAAACCAAATGAATTCATATTACTTAACTTGAATAAGACATCAGTAACTAGTTCATCATACTCACATTCTTAAACTCTGAGTCTAGGCATACTCACATGTCTAGTCCCGAGTACATTACTCATATATGGAGCCCAAAGTACGATCCTCACATATCTAGCCTCAAGTACAATACTCACACATCTACCCACGAATACATTGCTCAAATATCTAGCCTCAAGTAAAATGCTCACATATCAAGCCCCCAGTACATTACTGGCATATCTAGCCTCGAGTACAATACTCACATATATAACCCCAAGTACAAAAGTCACATTCTTAACTCTCAGTCTTAACTCACAGAACAAGTGTCACATTCAGGCCAACATTAACAAAGGCTTCGCCAAAAACAATTGTAAGTAATAGCACTGATGGTAGACTGCATATCCAAAGAAAGCTTTGAGTCACTAGAAGAAATGTTAAAATGCAAAGAGTCTAACCTTTGACTTGCTATGGAATTTGACAGCACACAAACACTCTAGGTGCTCTTAATCAAAATTGAACTGGTGACATCAAAATTGTATGTGTACCACTACAAAAATACACTAGAGTTTCATGAATGTCTAGGAAATGGTAAACGAAATGTCAAACAATACCTTTGAATGTTCTTGTGATGAGTGTAAGATGCAATTGAGCTTGTATTTTATAAATTTGTATGAGGTTTGACCAATGAATTATTCTAATTGAACTGGTCATTTTTATCATGTCTATACAAAATCACTAGAAATGCTGCACTGGAAAGATTAACTACTGCCATATATTCCAATGGGATGAGGAAAACTTGACTTTGAGATGATCCAGCAGACAGGTGCAAACTGTCAACCGGCTACAACCTTACAGTACAATAAAAAGAACTTACCGTTACATGTACTGAATACACAGTAATGTTTTATAAAGCTTCAACCTGCCTGCTCTCACAAAAACAGGAACTTTGGCAACAAACTGCATACTAACTTTCTCACACTATTCTTTGTGCAATTTCTTTATGATAATGAGTAAAATTCAAAAGCTTTTAAGATCACTGCACATGATACCGCAGTCCCTTCCTTGCTGGCTAACACGTACACACCAGAGTAATCCATACTAAAGCACTATGAGCCACACCTACAAGTATTAACTCCATAAGCATTTCACCCGAGTTGCAAACACACTTATGTGAATATGGTAAAAGTAGAATAACAAACCTATACCTTCCATTCACTGTATACGTGCTTGCCTCATTGGAAAAATGATAAATATAAATTACATGACAATTGTGTAAAAACTGGCAGTAGTTCAAATGATTTCTGCCTATCACTTAGTTAAAATATGGAAAGTGGGGGCTAATACATAGGGAATTATTAAGTGGAACTGTAAAAACAATGCCACTGTTAAAATATATTTATCACCAAAACCATAAATAGTACTAAATCTACTGAGGAAAGTATTTTTCCTACCTAGAAGGGAACTATAATATCAATACTTCACAGCCAACAGCTACCAGAGTATTTCCCGTACAGTAGCGTTGCCTAATTGAGATGGTCCACATAACTACTATTAGTGAAAAAATATGACTTACAAATGCTTAGCTGCAATCTTGTTACAGTAGACACAAGCTACAGCCAGTGCAAGATAAATGAGCTGCCCCAGTGTGGTAGGAAGTGAGGGGTACTGCTCAAGATAACCTGAGCAACTGTGCTTATTTCACATTCAAGCTGGTTTTCTGTCCAGTAAAACTCAGCACATAACTTATACCTCACATTAAATTTTGCTCAAGAATTCACTAAAGGCATTTTTCATACTTCTGTAATCTGTTCATGCGGATCAAGGTGACGACTTTCGGGACTTGATGAATCCGAGGACTGCTGCCTCCCATGGATTCCTGCATCTCCAACAGCACATTCAACTGTCACTACACTCTCTACACTACCACTACCTGTGTCCTGACTACCAGACCCACTACTGCTGCTCTGACTGCCTCCACTGTTGGTACTTATAGCAGCAGCAACAATGGGTGGAGCAGCAGCAGCAGCAGCTTGACTTGTTTCACACGGTACAGCTTCATTAACAGGAGATTCTGGATTCTCTTCAACATCAGATATTGGATTGACAGTAACAGTTATGCCACCAGCTGTAAATCCACATTCATAACCTGATGATACAGAGTTGTCAAGTTCCTCATCAGAATCATGCTCGGTTCCAGGTTCTGATGGTTCTGAAAGGGGAGGTGGGGGTGGAAGTTCATCTGCTATTAAAGCTCCTTCCAATTGAGTGATATCAGACTCTTGAGGAGAATCTGAATCTTTTTCAGAACTGCCATGAATACTGCCAGGTTGGCCAGCAGTGCTCCCTGATGATGATGAACCCATATTTGCAAGGTTTAACAGTTCATCTAAACCTTCAACCTCTGGCGGGGCCACCAATGGTGGCGGCGGTGGAGTGTCTTCACAAAGGGTGCTGGTTCGTGGCATAAGTGGCGATGCCTCGGGTAAAGGTGGAGGAAGGTCATTTGTAAAAGCACTATCATCTTCATCCATTACTGGAGGGGGTGGTGGAGGTAAATCACTGCACATTCCAGATGATGTGTCATGTTCTATAATGCTAGCAGTCTGCACTAGTGGTGTACTTTCCTGGTCAACACCATTATTCAAGCTGTCTAACATATAAAGTGGATTGACAGTTTCTTGCGGCTGATTTTCTGTTTCTTCTATTAATAAAGGTGCAGGAAGATCTACTGAACCAAGACTACTAAATGCCACAGGAGATGATTCTCTTTCTGGACTGGGTGGTTCAGGTGGCAATGCTTCAATCTCTTCCAATGATGAAACAATTACATTACGATTCTCATTAAGTGTTGAAAAGGATTGTCCATGCACAATTCCTTCTATGGGGAATGCTGTTTCCTTAACTCCACTTTGGACCAATTGCTGGGAAGCTTCTATATCTTGACTTTCCTGAAGAGTAATTGAATTTTCCATATGAGATGAACATGGCTGTTGAGCAAAATGTCTCGTCTCAGTTGGAGAAACTTGTTTATCATTACTCTCTTCCTGCTGAGGTGAAGATTCTGTATACGAGTCGGCTAATAGCACAGATGATTTCCTTTCTTCACTGGCTAATGAAGGTGGTGACATGTCTACTACTGAACTTGGTATAGGGAATACCATAGGTTGACCTGCTTGTCCCATTGAGCTCATTCCCTCTGGTAAAAATGAATTCTGATCAGCAGTTCTTGTTGATGGAGAAGAGGCTCCATCTGAAACTTTGTCCAAGGGTAAGAACTCAATATCTGGGCTTGGACTCCTTGTCAGTGGTGGGGTTTCTCCATCTGGGCTTGGTGGCACTGGTGGAGGCCCTTCTGGACTCCAGGGCACTGGTGGAGGACCCTCTGGACCCAACGGCACTGGTGGAGAACCTTCTGGGCTCTGTGACACTGGTGGAGGAACTTCTGGGGCCTGTGGCACCGGTGGAGGACCTTCTGGGCTCTGCGGCACTGGTGGAGGACCTTCTGGGCTCTGCGGCACTGGTGGAGGAACTTCTGGGGCCTGTGGCACTGGTGGAGGACCTTCTGGGCTCTGCGGCACTGGTGGAGGAACTTCTGGGGCCTGTGGCACTGGTGGAGGACCTTCTGGGCTCTGCGGCACTGGTGGAGGAACTTCTGGGGCCTGTGGCACCGGTGGAGGACCTTCTGGGCTCTGCGGCACCGGTGGAGGACCTTCTGGGCTCTGCGGCACCGGTGGAGGACCTTCTGGGTTCTGCGGCACCGGTGGAGGACCTTCTGGGCTCTGCGGCACTGGTGGAGGACCTTCTGGGCTCTGCGGCACTGGTGGAGGACCTTCTGGGCTCTGCCGCACTGGTGGAGGACCTTCTGGGCTCTGCGGCACTGGTGGAGGACCTTCTGGGCTCTGCGGTACTGGTGGAGGACCTTCTGGACTTTGCCTTGGCAGAAGGGATTCTTCATCTCGAGAGACTAATAATTGAGGGGATCCATTTGGACTTTTCACCAAGGGTGGAGATTCCATGTCAGGACTTGGACTTTTCATCAGTGGTGGAGTTTCTTTATCTGGGCTCTGCAACACTGGTGGAGATCCTTTATCTGGACTCTCCATCAATGGTGGAGAACCCTTATCTGGACTCTCCATCAAAGGCGGAGATCCCGTATCTGAACTGTCTGATAATGGAGGAGTTCCTGTATCCAGACTTATCAGTGGTGGAGTTCTTTGATATGGACTCTTCACCAATGGGGGAGAACCCTTATCAGGACTCTTCACCAATGGGGGAGAACCCTTATCAGGACTTTTCACCAATGGGGGAGAACCCTTATCAGGACTTTTCACCATTGGGGGAGAACCCTTATCAGGACTTTTCATCAAAGGTGGAGAACCCTTATCAGGACTTTTCATCAAAGGTGGAGCACCCTTATCAGGACTCTTCACCAATGGAGGAGAACCCTTATCTGGACTATTTATCAATGATGGAGATCCTCTAGGACTCTTCATTACTGGTGGGGAACCTGTAGGACTCTTCATTTGTGGGGGTGATCCTTTGGGACTCTTTGTAGTAGGTGAGGATCCTTTAGCACTTTTAACTAATGGTGGAGATCCCTTAGGACTCTTTATTGCTGGTGGAGATTCATTTAGTCTTTTCCCTGATGAAACTGAAGCTTTATCAGGACTCTTCAGTGGTGAAGGAGATTTATTTTCCAGATAAGGTAAGTGAGGACTTTCTGGCTTTTTCAAAGGCAATTTAAAATCTCGATCTTTAACCAAGCTTTCTTTTGTCAGAGTATCTTGTAAATCTTTATCATTTATGGGAGGTGGATAATTATCCAAGTCACTCTCTAAAAGACCAATGACCCTAGGACGCCTTTCCTCTTCTACTGGACTCTTGGCTTTGGCTAATTTCTTCTCTGGACTTGTGTTTCCTTTCTGTACAACTGCATACAATGGAGTTACTTGGTTAGTTTCCTTAACAGGCTTATCAATTTTTTCATAAGGAGGATAATTCTCTTGGGTGTCATAGTCATGTACAAATTCATATGTACTTTCATTTACAACTTTCTTAACTACTTCATAACCAGGTTCGGCATCACCATCACTCGATCGCCGACTTGTAAACTTGAGCTGCTCATAATTTGGGTCATGCTCTGAGGTGGTTCGTATGTGATGGATAGCACCTTGTAGTTCTTCATATCCAGGATCCCCAAATTCACTTGTGGGCTTTCCTTTAACAATTTCATATCCAGGGTCAGAAACTTCTGCCCTGTGATGAATTACACTTTCATAGCCAGGTTCATCTTCCTCTTGATTTTTATCATGGGAAACTGTTTCATAACCTGGTTCTAAACTTTCCAATTTAGCTTCACCTGTGACTGTTTCATATCCTGGCTCATATTCTCTGTGCTTCAGAGTCTCATAACCAGGCTCTGAATCAACGTCTGATGTTTGTTTTACCGTTTCATATCCAGGATAATTTTCTTCGGGTCTTTCAACACTCGCATATGGAGGTTCAGAATTTTTCACCGTTTCATACCCAGGATCAGATCCTCCTGAATAGAAGTTAGTGGGGAGTTGAGGTATTGTTTCATAATTGGGATTGGGTAGTGTTGGCTGAGGATGCTGTGTAGTACTTCCCCACACACCTGCCTTCTCATATGACTTGGCTCGACTAATTGATGAAATCACTTCGTGGTTGCGTGTTTCTACTAGGCTGCGGGTCATTGCTCCTAGATCTACTGACTGACGTGGGGTTGTCGGAGGAGATGACGCATGGGATCCCCAACGAGCACCCCCAATATCAACAGATCCTCTTCGTGATGATGAAACACTGCCAGCATCACTTTCACCACCCCCACCAGAACTGTCCCCGCGGGAATGTCCTGGGCGCTGCTTCTTCATTACCTATAAAAAACATAATTAAAAGAATATTTAAATCTTAATGAGCACAAATAAAAGGTTAAACATGAAGAATTATTTACATTTGTGATGCTTTAGATTCATCTAAATTTTACAAACAAAAATTAATCCCTGACTATTTAGAAGGGAATAAATTACATAACGTATTCATTGGGCAGACATACGGCTACTATGAGTTCAACCCAACAAGTGACTGCATAAGGGAAGTTGACTATAAAAATCAGAAAAAACTAAACAAAATTTGGGAGTGGAGATAATCTTCAAGATCGCACTCAGTGAGCGCAGGCATGATGGGCCCATTCATAAACCCACAAAGGGATTACCAGGGCTTGAAGGAAGCTACCAAGCAGAAACCCCAGACACTGGGGCCACTCACCAGAAGAACAGCTACAAAACACAGCCAAAACAACAAGGCTATGAATGCCAACTGTGATGCGCCATATAAACAAACACATGAACCCCAGTGTATCCCAACACAACCAAAACAATGCCCCCAGCCAAGGAACTAAACTGCCCCAGTGGCCTGGCCTCTCAGGAATGAATTCTCAAATGCAGTAGAGTACATAGCTGACTGTGCACTGGCAGGGCTAGCAGGCACCCAGGGCAGAAAACTGAAGCACAACAGCAGCCAATCTAACACAACAAGCCGGTGATAAAACACGCATGAGAAGCTAATACAGGGGTACCTCAGTTCACGAATTAAATCCATTTCGAGAGACGGCTCATAAACCTAAAATTCATAAACCGAAGTGAATTTCCCCATTGGAAATAATGGAAAATTAATTAACCCATTCCAGACGCCCCAAAAACAGCATTGAATGTAATGAAACACCATTTTCTGGGTGAGATCCGGAGGCTCTCCGGAGCTTACTAGGCTGATATGCTAATGTCAGACTTTGGCATCAGTCATGTGTATGGAGTTCAATGGGCCTACCGGGGACCACGAGCCAGAACCTGGCCCCCTCAGATGAAGTAAGGGGAGCAATGTTCTATTGAAACCCCCGAGTGGTTGGAAGCATTCTATGTCTGACATCGACCGGATCAGGCACCCAGAAAGGTAAGCATCCTAAAACAAACCCTATTCTGGTGAAAATATTGCTACCAAAAGCCGAACAAATGGACAGAGTTCCCCTAAACGAAACGAGCAAATGATCATGACGTCACACGCCATCACGCCGCTGTCTGCACAGCTCCCCCCCTCCCTGGGAGGGGGAAGGGGAAGTCCCAGACCCCACACGCCGGCTATCCACCCTTTAGTTCTTAGGCTTAATGTCAAACACATGAAAAACCGCCGACCGGAGGGAGGGAGGGAAGGATGCCGGGGAACCTCCGGGTCTCGCCAAGAAAATGGAGTTTCATTACATTCAACGCTGGTTTTCTGGGGGGTGCCCCTTTGGCTCTCCGGCGCTAACTACTCACAGAGAAAAAACATAGGGACTTACCCGGGAGGCAGTCGCTGCTCACAACTCAACTCAAAGTCGAGTCAACTTGCTGCAACCGCCGACCCAAAGCGACACAGGCTCGACTAGGCCCAGGGACGTTCACAAGGTAACGAGCAGCCAGGACCCTGTTCGACCTCCAAAAACCCCGTGCACGAGTGTCAGCCCACAACATGTTGCCAAAGACAGCAGCAAGAGCAACGAACTTACGAACGTCATGGGCACGGGGATAGACTGCAGGCTGGCTAGCCTTAATAATTCTGTGGTTGACCTGGGAGACCCGCACCTGCGAACAGGGAAGAAGGGAAACCGGATCAACCCAAAGCGCATCCCCGGACACAGAACCCGTGGCGCGCAAATAACGGCGAAGGGCCGCAACCGGACACAAAACATGATGCACCCTGGCCTAACCAACCAAGCATCCACAACCCAGGGATCCCTCCGGAAAGCAGCAGTCTCATTCTTCACCAGAAAAGAAGGAGACAGCTGCAAACGAACAAACCATCACGGAGACCGAAAGAGTAGAAACCCCAGCGAAGGAGGAGAGCATGAAACTCACCAACCCGACCCCCAGAGACCAATGCCAACAGAAAAATAGCCTTGGAGAAACAATCCTGATCCGAAGGGGCCACAACAAACCGAGGAGAAGAATGATAAGAGAGCACTCTGTCCAATGACCAGGACGGCTCAGACGACGCATGAGCAGGCCGGAGGTGAAACAACACCCGAGACAGCTTGCGAAACGGTGCAGAAGTAACATCAATACCGAAAGCAAACTGAAGCGGCTCTGCCAGCGTTGCACGATACAAGGCGACAGTGTTAGGCCTAAGGTAACAGTCCGGGAATAACCAAGAGAGAAAGGACACCGCCACCCTAACAAAGTGAAGTACAATGACGAAGACGCAGGAAGAAACGGAAGGACCGCCAGGAAACTTTGTACTGCCGCCGAAATGAAAACCGTAGGTGGGACACTAACAAGGAAGTCATCTGATCACCATAAAGATGATGATGAACTCAAGTAAAAAATACCATTCGCGAAGACTCGAGGAGGAGATCGAACCAGCCACGTAACGTTCTGGTTCGATCTGCTGGAAAAGGCGGAGTCGCAGGAAAACCTCCGGGTTCAGACACCGAGCAAGCAGCGCCTGAAACCATGGCTGGGCCGGCCACCACGGGGCCAAGAGGATAACTCTTCCCTGGTAAGTCTCCAAGCGAGTTAGGACCTCGAGCAACAGCTGAACCGGGGGAAATTGGTACAGGAACCCCCACCTCGACCAGTCCTGCCGAAAGGCATCGACCCCGACAGCCACGCAATCGGGGAAGGGCACCACATACAGGGAAAGGCGCCGAGACCACGCTGGTGTGAAGCGGTCCACCTCGAGGCAACCGAACGTCCGGCAAAGCCAACTGAAGGAGTCGGCGTCGACCGTCCATTCCGTGGAGAGAGGAATGAAACGGGACAGGCCATTGGTCAAGACGTTGCACACTCCCCACACGTGAACGGCCAGGAGAGCCAAACCCCAAGAACTCAGCAGACAAGTCACCCGAAGCGACCAAAGAGCCAAGGATCGCATCGAAGCAAAAGGACCGAATAAGCAAAACGGTGCAGCCTCGGGGCTTCCGGGTAGGCAATCAACCAAGCGCATTACAGCAACCTATACCTAGCATGCAACGCCTGAGCTGCCTGCACCCGGACAGTTATCAGTGGACTGGGTGAACTGAGTCACTAACAAGTAACAAAACTTGCAAGACTCTGGGTCAAAGGTGTTACCAACCCAACAGGCAGCATGACGGAGGGAAAAACAGTGATAGTCACCCTGAGACAAAGGAACAGAGCAACCTTCAAACTCGCACAAGGCGAGAAGGAACCCAGGAATCACATCCATCGAACCCCTTGTGCCACCATGGGGTTTCTCAGGGGCCCTTAGACTAGTATCGCTAGGGGAAGCCCAGGCAAGGTACTGTGAACCAGCACCCAAGTCTACCAAACAAACTTCTAAAAGTTGAACCCCACAGAACATGTCCACTCACGGGGGCCTAGCAGGGGATATCACCAAGACCCCAGATATATATATAAGGAGATACAGGGGCAACCAACCGAAGGCAGACCCCCACCAGGCAGAAGACAAAAATAAAAGAAAACCCCGCAAGAGGACAACGTACCCAGGAGGAACAGAGCCGGCCACTATAAGAGGTGATAACTAGCTGTGCAGTATCCTGCACCCATACCATTACAAATTACCCCTTACCCCAAGGTAAACACGGGAGGAGGAAACCCTCCAGCACACTTAGGATGGTCAATTACCGAGCAGGAAAAGACCAAGCAAAGGTAAACCCCAAGGAGACTTGTGGAATTACCAAGGGCTGTACTTACAGGGAAATTAGGAAAGGGAACCCTAAGTGCATGCAGCCCGAGTACCTGTGAAGACTACTCCCAACACATACACCACCCTGAAGACAGCGCCAGACACAAGGCACAGCACTGAACACAAGAATCAGGAGCTGGAGTCACACGACCAATGCTTAGACACATCAGCCGAGAAGCGAAGGTGTCGGTAGCCGGCGTGAGGGGTCTGGGGCTCCCCCTTCCCCCTCCCGGGAAGGGAGGGAGCTGCACAGACAGCGGTGACGTCATGTGGTGACATCATGCCCATTTGCTCGTTTCCTTTGGGGAGTTCTGTCCACTCAATTGACTTTCAGTAGTAGTTTCAACCAAAACAGGAGTTTGTTTTGGGATGCTTACCTTTCTGGGTGCCTGACCCGGTCAATGGCAGACATAGAATGCTCCAAATCACATGTGCAACTCTATATAGGCCACTGATCCTCGTACCTCTCTAGAGGGGGCCAGGTTCTGGTTTGTGGTCCCAAGGAAGGCTTAAGAACTCCATTTACATTGACTGATGCCAAAGTCTAATACAATGGGGCCTCGACTTATGATAATATCCGTTCCCAGAGACGGATCGTAACTCGAAATATCGTAAGTCGAAGCGATTTTTCCCATAAGAAATAAAGGGAATTGAATTAATCCGTTCCCCACCCTCCAAAATATTAACATACAAACACATTTTATACTGAATACAATGTTTTTTCTAACTACAATACAGTACCTAAGTTGATCTTACCTTTATGGCATATGGAAGATGGTGATGAGTTGGGAGGAGGAGAGTTGTTACTGTTTGGAAGAGGAGTCCCCTTCCATTATCACATCAGGCAGTGATGTTTTCTCTCTCCTACGTTTTGCCTGAATACCACTAGGACCTGGTTGTGGTTCAGTGCTTGTTTGTCTCACTACAAATTTGTCAAGAGACATTTGTTTTTCCCTTCGTTTTAACATTTGTCTGTAATGATGCATCAGTGTCATTGAATAGGTTAAGGCAACGACCTACTGCAGCTTGATTTGGGCGAGTCGTTTCAGCAAAGGTTTGCAATTTTTCCCATGCTGCACATATTTTCTTAATTGTTGAGGAAGTGATGTTTCCCTCAGGATAGCTGGAACTCGTGGGATGAATTTCATCCAGTAAACCGAATGATTAGACATTCTGTACTCTTGTTTCTGCTCTATGCTCATCCTTACATGGGTTTTCATATGTTGAGCCTTACCACTGACTTTCCTGGGACTCATGGCGTGATATATAATAATTACTTTAATGTTCAAAATGCAAAAAATCACCACAAACGCGGAATTTCTTATAGGCGCGATCGTCACTAAGCGGGCAGCTGTAGTAAACTGAGGCAGGTCGGCCGTGTGACTGGGAACCACGTGCTCGGTCGACCCGAATGTGTACCAACAAATATCAGAAGTCGACGACACCATCGGATATCGAGTCGCATTTTTCGATGAAATTTACATCATAACTCAAAATTATCGTAAGTAGGGGCAATCGTAAGTCGAGGTGCCACTGTATATACATATCAGGCTGGATAGCTCCGAAGAGGCTCCCCACAGAAATAAATATGTAACTGGTATTATTTAGCCATGATAATATTACAGAAGAGCCTGACTGTGACAAAAACTGTGTACAATGTTCAGATATCAGTGAATCAATGCTGCTCAAGATGTTCACATTGCTAGCCTCAGCACACAGCCATTATTTCATCCATCTTGGAATCTTCAAATGACTTCTAATGATCCTTTACAAAATAAACTTGTGGAAAATGATTCATTTCTAGGATTTAGTGACCAGGATTCTGATAATAGCAGGATTGTGGTGAGAATTAGCGCTGTGCGAAGCATGGTGGGAGGAGTAATCTTGGTGAGGAGGGAGAGAGAGAGTTGGCGTCGTCTGCTGGCTGCTCTGTGACTCATCATGCAGGTTTTTGTTGTCACTATGTTGTTTGGACATCATACCAGCTTAGTTGTACAGTTATGGCGAATAAAATATGTAAATACTAATATATAAAGTGTGTATAGAGTGTAATAACAGCAAAAGGAGTATGTTGGGAGTAGCCAGTTTGGCGAGGGAGGTAGCTTTGTCTCCCGGCATCATCTGCTGTGTGACTTGTCATGCAGTGTATGTGGCCACTCTGCTGTTTACACACACCATACCAGCTTAGTTGCATACAATAGAACATGTAGATATGTATATATATATAACATGTGTGTATATAGTGTAATAAAACCACAAACACTATTATGGGAGGAATAATATTGGCAAGTTAGGTGTTGAGTGAGTGAGGGAGGGCTGGCTGGGTGTGACAGCCCACTCTTGTTCTTAGGGCTCACCATACCAACTTAATGATTCATTATAGTGAACACATATGTAGATGCTGAAGGTATATACAATGTGTGTGTATATAGTGTAATAACATTAAAAACACTGTTTGATTGATCATAGAATATAATATATATGTCACATATATGAGCCTCATAATTTTTAGCATATAGATGTTCCACACATTGAACTATATAAATTCCACATATTACACACTTTTGAATAATATTACAGCAAAAAAAACAGAGAAGAAACAAATGAGAAACATCAAAATAATTGTGAAACATTATATTTGCGGCAACTACCGCCCCACGGGATGGCAGGGCCGACTGATCCCGAGCGCTCCATCGCTCAGCACCCATAATTTGCTCAACGTCCCAGCTCCATTACGGTTAAAGTATGTCACATACAATATTTTTAGTTTCCCGTGAACAGAGACTGCATTTTAACAATATAAGAAGATAAAATAATTTTTTGGAAAGAATTCATTTTCAGCACACCAGGGGGTAGCCATATTTTAATGCAGAGCAGTGCTGTGGTTAATGTTCATATGCTTTAAGTGCCTTCAAATTCCTTTCAATCATTCACATTTTATTTGAGATTATTCATGAAGGCCAAGGTTGAACCCAACTCCAGGCACGTCACGCACACAACACTAACATATTCAACAATAACTTACAAGAGAGGTTAGAAATGATATTAGCACAAAACAACTTTACAACAATTTTCACAACATGGCTTTAATGTTTTAATCTTGGATATACAGACTATCTCTATACTAAATAGTATGTAAGATTCAGAAAGACAGCAAAGATTAATGTACCTTTGCATACATTTCTTCAAGTGCTCGTTGTGTTGGTCTCTCAACAGATGGAACACTCCGTGGTGGGGAATGTGGGGGCTGGGGAGAGGGGCCAGAGTAGAGGCTTGTGTCTCCCTGAGGTAAAGGTGGCAGAGGAGATCGAGTACCTCTCTTCTCTGCTCCAGGGCTTCCCATCACTGTACTAGCAGCACTGCTCGAAGAAGCTGAAAACAGACAAGTAATTAACAAAAAAAGTACTAAGTCAATATGGCACTATGTGAACAGAATATTCAAAGAGATGATAGATAGATAGATAAATATTCAGAATGCAATATGAAAATAGAAAGACAAAATTATTAACACCAAAGAAGTCGGATTCACCGAGGATTTTATCATGATATATGAATATGGTGCATAGGAACAATGCGAAATAATTATTTTTGATCAACCAGTATATCAAGACATCAAATTAGAAAAAGAAAAACAGTAGAACAAATAAATATTTAAAGTAAAATACAGATTTCCATTCCATTTTTTTTTTATTATTATTATTTTCTACCACAGACGTGGCCATTAAGTGCCCATGAGATGTCTCCACATACTCTTTCGGAGGAAGACGGCAGGTCACAGGAATAGCTCACAAACAATTTGTTGTTTGTAGTAGATAACCAGTGGCAGAGACAGGGGAAGGTTAAATGTGGTGGTGGGGAAGAGAGGGGGGTTAGATGCACCTGGATCTTACATGCAGATGGTCTCATGAGTTCTTCAACTCCCTGAACCTGGCCTGGGGCCAGGCTCGACTTGTGATAACTTGGTCCAACAGGCTGTTGCTTGTAGCTGCCCATAAGTCCACATATCCACTACAACCTGGTTGGTCTGCACTTCTTGCAGTAACTTATTTAATTGGTTCTTGAAGAAGTCCATCTTTGTTCTGGCAATATTTCTAATGTTTACTGGGAAAGTATGAACAGCTGTGAACCTCTGATGTTCAGACAAATGCTCTCTGACTGTGCCTATGGCAACTGTACTCTTACCTTGCAATGATTTCGGAGCCCAATGTTCCCGTAGCCCGATCCTCGACCAGGCCTCCATTGGTCTCATTCTACATTTCCTTCCATATCTTTCACTCCAGTATGTTATTATACTACTGTACAAATTTAGGACCTGGCCTTCCTGTATCTTTCATGTATATATTATTTGGTAGTTCTCATAGGAGAGGGAAGGGACAGGGAGTAGAGGATAGACATGGAGGGGGAGGACGGAGGACTGTGGGGTAGAGATGGGGGAACTATTTCAAGAGATCTCATCCTCAAAAGGACATACCAGCTTTGGAGAAAGTTGAACACACAGTGACAAAAATCATCCCTGACTTAAGTGAACTCTTATACCAGGAATAGTTGAGGGCCTCAGGACTAAGAACACTTCAAACTAGATATGATAGCTGATCTCAACAACAAGATTTTCAAAATACACAAGTAGAGGATATTAGTCAAGACCACTTTAAAAGATCAAATGTAACACTTATAAGCTTAACAAACCACAATGTAGGACAGAAAACAGGAAATGCCTTTTCATCCACAGGGCTATAAACCCATGAAACTACCTACCCACTGAATCCATAAATGCAAAAACTTTTTTGCATTTCCATTCCACTTCATTTCAAAATCCAGTTAGAAAAAATCCTCAGGAACAAAGGAGGACTTTTGACAAGTCACAGGTTTCCTGTTTTCATCGAGTCCACTAGAGAGATAGTGCCCCTCAGGTAAATTCAGGTAAATAGTTTGTTCTGAGAGTTCTACTCCCCAAGTCAAGCCTGGGACCAGGCTTGACTTATGATATCTTGATTTAACAGGCTGCTGGATGGAACAGCCTACAGGCTCTCAAATTTGTTATATCCCAGTTGGGCCAACACTTCTTCCAGGAACTACTCTAATTATTTCTTGTATTCATTCACTTTTTCTTACATTTGTTCAAAAGAGGTTGAATAGCCATGGACCTCTGATGTTTGCAGCATTCTCTGTGCCAATGAGACCGCTCCTCGTCATTGGGTCTGTTCTGCACTTCCCACCATATTTCACTCTAAAATGTTACTTTGCTGTGCATATGTGATACCTGGTCTTCCAGTATCTTCCATGTATATATTATATTATATGCTACCTCTCTTGACTCATTTTTAGAGAGTACATTTAAAGTGCTTTGAAATGGTCCCAATAATTTTAGCACCCTATCATGTCCTTGGATGCTGTACATGTTCTTTGTATTCCTTGTATTTCAGAAATGTCTGCAGCTTTGAAAGTAAAAGTGAGCACCGAGCAGTACTCAAGGGGGGGAGAACACAAGAGAATTGAATAGTAGGAGAATTGTAGTGTAATCCCAGACTTGAAGGTTCGTATAATCCATCCTATCACTTTCCTAGCTGATGCTATATTTGCACTGTTATGCTCACAAAACTTTAGGACATCTGACATCACTACTACAAGATCATTTGCATGATGTTTTTAATCTTCAAGGGGGATCTAATTGCTTTGTACCCTGTATTTCATTTACATTCTTCCTTTTTACCATACCTAAGTATCTGGAATTTAAAACTGTTAAATATCTTGTTGTTTTCTGTAGCCCAGTCGGAGACTTCATTGATATCATTGTTTCTCAATGTCTTCAACCATGGTAATTTTCATGATGATTTTTGCATAGTCTGCAAAGAATGAGATGAACCTGTGACCTGTATTTTTGGTGACAAAAAGTGGTTCCCCCTGAAGCTAGCTGCACTGAGATAGCTCCACACAGATGAGTCATGTCAGTCCCAGGAGTTCTTAATATCCTACCGAAGACCAGCACAAAAACTCTGCACCTCTGTGAAACCTCGGTTTTTGAATAACCCTCTTTTCAAATTTTTCGATTCTCGAGCTCAATATCTTCAAAAAATTTGACTCGGTGCTCGAGGTTTGCCTCGGAGCTCGAATTTGTTGATACACGTATGGACCGACCGAGCACGTGGCGTGCTTCAGTTTACCAGTGTCTCCCGCCTAGTGACGACCACGCTTGAATTCTTTGTGAAGAATTTCATTGTCTTTGTGCTTTTTTTTGGTTTCTGAACATAAAGGTTCTTATTATATATCAAACCATGGGTCCCAAGAAAGTCAGTGGTAAAGTTCAACCAAAGAAAATAGGTGTGAGGATGACAATAGAGGAAAAACAACAGATCATTCATGGTGAGACAATGTGATGTCTCACTACAGACAAGTGTTAAAACATAAGAAAAAACAAGAGTCTATAGACATATTCTTAGTAAGACAAGCAAGCAGTGAGCCACAACCAGGTCCTAGTGATGTGCAAGGGAGTACCCCAGAAATGTCATCACTGCTGTTATAATGGAAGGGGGACTCCCCTTGCAAACACTAACATCTTTCCTCCTCCCTGTCTTCCATACACCAAAGAGAGTCCTCAATAAAGGTAAGATATACTTGTACATACTGTAGTACAAAATATAGGTACAGTACAGTAGTATGTATAAAATATATTTTTAAGTCAATATTTTTGGGGGTGTGGAACAGATTAATTCAGTTTACATTATTTTTTTGTGGGAAAATTCGTCTTGGTTTTAGAATTTTTGGTTTTCGAATCGTCTCTGGGAATGGATTAAATCTGAAAACGGAGGTAACACTGTATATGAATCATTTTCCACAAGAAGATTTTCTAAAGGAACATGAGGTAAATGTTGCATGATGCATAGATGCACAAAACCTTGGCTGTGTGCTGTAAATGTCTGCCTAGTGCTGAAAACATCATAACTAGCATTGTGTTCACTGATATGTGAATCATGTACATAGTTTTTATTACAGTCAGGATAATCTATGACATTATCATCATAAAACAATTGCAGTTACTTATTTTATTCATCAATATTAGTGGTGCTGTGGCCCTAACCTGCACAGCAGTGCTGTGAGCTCCAGCTGCATGTGCAAGACTTGGTTACTCTGGCAGTACTGAGGCTCTCACAGCCAGGAGAGATGCAGATGATTTTTTGCCAGATAGCATCTGTTTACGGAGTCCTGAGGAACAGGATGTGAGCCCCATGTACCTGCAGGAGTTTTGACTTTACAATGTGCTAACAAATGTCACATGTTAGGTGGTGACCCTTTACTCATGATGTTAACACTTTCGCGCTATGCGCGAGCGAGCCTCTCACTATCCAAGGTGGGTCTGGGCATTTTCGTGCACTCCCCAGGAGCACGCAGTAATTCTGAAGTCTTTTCAGAATTACTCTTTTTAACTTTGTCACTTCAATTCTCATCCTAGGATTTTCAATTTGGTATCATTGTGTTCGCAATAGAATTCTCTGCAGGACTAAATGCATATAAACTCCAAAAGCCTGGCTTACCACCCGCAGCAAACAGAGAAAGTGAGTTACCCGGGAGCGCTCAAGAGCAATGAAATGTGTACACTCTTTTCACTTTGGTCACCTCAATTCTCGTCCTAGGTCTTTCATATTGGTATCAATGTGTTTGTTCGCAATTGAATTTTCTTCCGGACTAAATGCATATAAACTCCAAAAGCCCGGCGTACCACCCACAGCAAACAAAGAAAGTGACATCGCATTATCACTGTGAGCGCTAATCAAGCACAATAAAATGTGTATACTCTTTTCAACTTTATATATAATGCATACAAGGTCCAAAACCGCAGCGCGCCCCTCCTACAGCCAAGTGCGAATGCAGGGCACATTTTTTAATTTTTGACGCCATACTTCGTCATTAGGGGACATTTAGCTACAAAATTTTTGACTCCATACTTTGTCATTCGTGGGCGAAAGTGTTAAGGTTTGTGCAGTATAGTGCTTAAAGAAACAATCCCGGACCTAAGGAGACACCATGACTGTGAGCGGTACGAAGAATCTGTGCAAGGCTGACAGAGATATCAAATGTGTGCTCTACCGTGCAACAGGGAGATACTTCTTGTGTGACAGTAATTGATGGTGTTCAACTACAAGTAATTTTGGAGTTTGGGGAGCAACACTGATTATTTATTATGTTCTGCTATTCTCCACACTACACATCCAGTGTGAGAACACTGACAAGTGGTTGTACTTATTGTTTGGCAGTAGAAGACCTTCTGCTCGTACTAATCGTCATTTGATGTGAAATAGTTCCGCAATGGCAATCCTCGTCCTGACAAGAGGAGACAGTGGAACTATTAGCAAGAAGAGGTTTTAATTCAACAGTGC